AAGTTAGGATCCTTGTGTGAGCATGGATTAAGACCTTTTTGGCATTTTATTTAATGAATGCTGGAGAGCTATAAAGAGTTCAGAATAGTTCTGCATGTGTTCTTTATGGCTAATGCATTGGGTGTGAGTGGCAAGAGGTGAGGCTCTAGACAGGGACCAACCTAGTTAGGACCTTGTTGTAGTTTGCCAAGATGTTCATTTTTTTTAAAGGTGGTGGGAACCATTGCAGGATTTTAATTGTTGATATATTTGCTGTTTAGACACAATCTGGGAGCAGTATGGAGGATGGACTGGAATGGGAGCCGTGAAGACTGGTTTTAGGGTAACTGGTTAAGAAGATTCAACAGCAACCATCGTTCAGATTTTTTTCTTGTTTGAATGTTTATTTCAAAATTTTTTATTACAAATAATTGCTGTAAACATCTTGGTGTAGGTAACTTTGATTTTTTTTAAAGGATTTTTTTAGGATGCTTCCATAAAAATAGTGTTACTGAGTTCAAGTGTATGGATATTTTTAAGGTTTCATGATTAATTTTTCCTTTAGGCTGCTGCTTAAAAGAGTTGGGCCTATTTAGCGCAGCAGTAAATAAAGATATCCCTTTTCGCTCTTCTAAGCATTAGCTAATTGCCTTTTAAATTTTTTGCTAATTTTATGGCATGTGCCATTTAAACATTCGTGAAGCAGAATATTTTCCTGTCTGTTTACTAATCATATTTATTTTCACTGACTTGTTTGGCCTTGTCCTAGTTATGTTAGAGCCTTAATGTTTTTCTTATTGATCTCCCTGAGACTTACAATTATATTAATCTGTTGTCATATTTGCTACAAACATTTCCATGGTGAATTATTTGTCTTTTAATATTGGTCATTGTTTGGACATGTAGAAATGTGTTATCTTAGGAGTCAAAATCTGTCTAACTTTTGTTTTGTTTTCCTATTCTATACTTGGAAAGCTTTTTCTTCAAGAAGTTTGATAAATAAGTACATTATATTTAGTGTTTTTAAAAAATGCTTTAATAAACTATTCCCCCTTCAACTGCTATTTGGCCATCTCATCATTGTTTATTAACCAATTCTTCCTTTCCACTGTGATGTAGTATCTTTTCAGTTATGTTAATTATAATAGAGTCAGATATATCTCTTGTTCAGTGCCATACTGTTTTCATTATTTATAATTTAGTTTAATATTCTCATTAGGCCAGTTTTTTTAAGAGATGGAGTCTCGCGCTGTCACCAGGCTGGAGTACAGTGGCGTGATCTTGGCTCGCTGCAGCCTTTGACCCCTGGGTTCAAGTGATTCTCCTGCCTCAACCTTGCTAGTAGCTGGGATTACAGGTGCATGCCACCACTCCCAGATAATTTTTTTTTGGGGTGGAGATGGGGTTACGTTGGTCAGGTTGGTCTCGAACTCCTGACCTCAAGTGATCTGCCTGCCTTGGCCTCCCAATTTTTTGTTGTTGTTATTCTTATTTTTTTTCTGCCACATAAATATTAAACGTTAAATTTAATAAGGGCTGGATGTGGTGGCTCATGTCTGTAATCCCAGGACTTTGGGCAGGCTGAGGAGGGTGAATCATCTGAGGTTAGGAGTTTGAGACCAGCCTGGCCAACCTGGTGAAACCCTGTCTCTACTAATAATACAAAAATTAGTTGAGCGTGGTGGCACATACCTATAATCCCAGCTACTGGGGAGGCTGAGTCACGAGAATAACTTGAACCCGGGAGGCGGAGGTTGCAGTGAGCCAAGATCATGCCACTGCAGTCCAGCCTGGGCGACAGAGTGAAACTGTGTCTGAAAAAAAAAAAAAAAGACATTTCATTGGGATTATTATTAGAATTGCATTACTTTGGGAAAAAGAGATATCTACGTTTATTTAGTTTTCTCACCCAGGAGCATGCTATGTTTTTACGTTTATTTTTATTTTTATTTGTTTTTGTTTTTGTTTTTACGTTTGTTTAAGCTTTGGCCCATATTGCTCAGGATAGCTTTATAATTTTCTTCCTATGTTTGAATTTAATTTCAGATAATTTATTTTTATTTGTGTGATTTACATTGTGTTTTCTAATCCTAGTTATTGCTTGTATTTAGGAATGCAGTTATATGTATTTTTGCTCGATCAGAACAATTTTGGCTGGGCATGGTGGCTCACGCCTGTTGTCCTAGCACTTTGGGAGGCCAAGGTGGGAGGATTATTTGAGTCCAGGAGTTCGAGAGCAGCCTGGGCAACATAGTGAGACCTCATCTCTTTATTTATTTATTATTTTTTGAGACTGAGTTTCGCTCTTGTCGCCCAGGTTGGAGTGCAATGGCGCCATCTCGGCTCACTGCAACCTCCGCCTCCCGGGTTCAAGCAATTCTCCGGCCTCAGCCTCCCGAGTAGCTGGGATTACAGGCAAGCGCCACCATGCTCGTCTAATTTTTTTTGTATTTTTCGTAGACGGGGTTTCTCCATATTGACCAGGCTGGTCTCAAACTCCCAACCTCAGACGTCACTCTGCCTCCAGCTTGAGGCAGGGGCTGCAGAGCTTTCCTCTTCCACCTTCAGCTTGAGTTGGCAGGTGCACAATCACAACCCTTAGGGTGCTAGAGCATTCATTTTCAGGAAGTAAATCTTCAGGATATACTGAAGCATCTTCAGAATAGCAAATACAAAGAGGCTGACTCACGCTGACAGTTCTGTGATTGACATGATCATATTCAAGAAACAGTGAGGCCAATCAGATATCCATATGGAAAAATATAAGCTTTGACTTCTAACTCACACTACACACAAAAGTTAATCCCAGGAAGATCATAAACCTAATTGTGAAAGATAAATCACTGAAGCTTTTAGAAGATAATATAGGCAAATATCTTCAGATCCTTGGGGGAGATGAATATCTTTTAAATGGGACAAAAACCAAGCAAGCCATAAGCAAAAAGACTGATAAACTACACATCATTAAAAGAATCTGTTCAATAAAAATACCATTAGGAGATTTAAAAGTCAAGTCCTATAGACTAGAAAAGATACTTTATATATATACTGTTTTTGTCCAATGAAAGACATATCTATAATATGCAAAGAGCTCCTTCAAATCAATACATACACATACAACTCAATTTAAGACTGGGATGACAACTTGGACAGACATTTTATAAAAGAGGATTGACTGGCCAATAAGCAAATGAAAAGGTATCATCTTTAGTCATCAAGGAAATGAAAATTAAAACCACTACACATCTACCAGAGTGGCTAAAATGAAAAAGATTGGTGACACCATTGGTCAGGATAAAGAGCAACTAGAATGCTCATTTATTGCCAATATGAATATAAATTGCACAAACACTTTAGAAAACTGTTTGGTGGTGGTATCTATTAAAGCTAAACATGCCAGGCATGGTGGCTTATGCCTGTAATCCCAGCACTTTGGGAGCCTGAGGTGGGTGGATCATGAAGTCAGGAGGTCGAGACTGTCCTGGCTAACACAGTTAAACCCCATCTCTACTAAAAATACAAAAAATTAGCTGGGCGTGTTGGCACGTGCCTGTAGTCCCAGCTACTCGGGAGGGTGAGGCAGGAGAATCACCTGAACCTGAGAGGCGGAGCTTGTAGTGAGTCAAGATCATGCCACTGCACTCCAGCCTGGGCGACACAGTGAGATTCCGTTTCAAACAAACAAACAAACCTGGAAACAACCCAAATATCTGTTAATAGGAGAATGGCTAATAGGTTGTGATACATTTTTACAATGGAGTACTACAGAACAATGGGAAAGAATGAACTACAGTCTCATGCTATATGTACAGCTGAAGCTTACAGACGCAGTGTTCAGCAAAATAAACCAGACACAAAGGAATACGTACTGCATGATTCCATTTTATAGGCGTGAGGTTCAACAACAGCAAAAAACAACGCATGGCGCCATCAGTCAGAATGGTGGTTTTCAAGGGGCTCAATGAGTGGGAGAAGGTACACAGGAGCCTCTGGTGGGCTAGACACGTTCTAGATCTTGTTCTAGATGGTGGTCACAGGATGCATGTCATATGTAAATACTCACCAAGGTGGACACTGAATATCTGGTACTTTAGATACATTATTCCTCAAAAAATTTTTAAAGGAGAAAGCGGGGCAATTCAATGGGGAAAGGATGGCCTTTTTTACAAATGGTGCTGGTTCTACTGGGTATCTACATCCTCGATACACAGAAGTTAACTCAAGGTGGACCACAGACTCTCATGTAAGAGCTAAAATGATAACATTCTTAGAAGAAATCATGGAAGTAAATCTTTGTGACCTTGAATTAGGTAATGGGTACTTAGATACCACACCAAAAGCACAAGTGACAAAAGAAAAACTAGGTAAATTGAACTACATCAAAATTAAAAGCTTTTATGCTGCCAACAATACTGTTAAAAGTGAGCAGAATGGGAGAAAATATTTGTAAATCATGTATCTGGTAAGGGTCTAGTATCCAGAATATATACGATTTAAAGAACTAGCTTGGGCAACATGGTGAAACCTCATCTCTATAAAAAATACAAAAAAATTACCCGGTCTTGGTGGTGTGAGCCTGTAGTCTCAGCTACTCAGGAGGCTAAGGCAGGAGGAGCACCTGAGCCTGGAAAGTTGAGGCTGCAGTGAGCTGAGATCACGCCACTGCACTCCAGCCTGGGTGACAGAGCAAGGCCCTGTCTCAAAAATAAATAAAAATAAAAAAGAGAAGAAAAAAAAGTACTATTATAATCCAACAATAAAAACAAAACAACATAATTTTAAGAATGGCAAAGGTAGGCTGAATGTGGTGTGCTCTTGGCTCACTGCAAGCTCCACCTCCTGGGTTCTCGCCATTCTCCTATTCAGCCTCCCATGTAGCTGGGATTACAGGCACCCTCCACCACGCCCAGCTAATTTTTGTATTTTTAGTAGAGATGGGGTTTCACCATGTTGGTCAGGCTGGTCTCAAACTCCCAACTGTTAGGTCTGTCCGTGTCAGGAAAGTCCACCAACAGGCTGTGTGTGAGCAACAAGGTTGTTTATTTCACTTGGGTGCAAGTGGGCCGAGTCCACAAAGAGAGCCAGCAAAGGGAGATAGGAGTGGGGCAGTTTTATAAGATTTGGATAGGTAGTAGAAAATTACAGTTAAAAGTGGTTATTGCTTGCTGGCAGGGGAGGGGTCACAAGGTGCAGGGTGGAGAGATCATGAGACTCCTTGTCCAGGGGAGGAATGTCACAAGGTTGATTGATTAGTTGGGGGTGGGACAGGAACAAATCACCAAGGTGGAATGTCATCAGTTAAGGAAGGAGCTGCCTGTTTCATTTTTTTGGTGGTTCTTCAGTTGCTCCAGGCCATCTGAATGTATATCTGCAGGTCACAGGGGTTATGATGGCTTAGCTTGGGCTCAGGGACCTGACACTGAGGATCCTTCTTTATCTTTCTCTGATGCCCTTCTATGAGAATGAATCTGTTTTGGAAGAAAATGAAATTAAGATTATTCGTCACAACAACCACTATCTCCAAATCTGTATTCACTCCTTCTCTTCATTATAAGTCTCATCTACCTGATGAGATAACTTTTTTGAAAACAGGAATTGTATGCTGTTTAACAGTGCTTTGATTCTTCCACAGTTCAGTCATCCTTGATATCCTGAGGGGGATTGGTTCTAGGATACCGCTGCCACACCATACCAGAATCTGTGGATGCTCAATCCCTTACATATAATGGTGCATATTTGCATATAACCAACACACATCCCCCTATATACTTTATTTATTTACTTAGAGACAGGATCACTCTCTGTTGGTCAGGCTGGAGTGCAGTGTCACAATCACAACTCACTGCAGCCTCAACCTCCTGGGCTCCAGTGATCTGCCCACCTCAGCCTCTTGAGTAGCTGGGACTACAGGTGTATACCACCACACCTGGTTAGTTTTTTAATTTTTATTTTTAGTAAAGACAAGGTCTCACTATGCTGCCCGGGTTGGCCTCCCAAAGTTTTGGGATTACAAGTGTGAGCCACAGTGCCTGGCCCCATGTACTTTAAATCATCAGTAATAAAATGTATAGATATTGTACAATGGTGACAGTTGTTATACTGTACTTTCTATTTGTATTTTTATTGTTTCTTTTTTCAAATATTCAGCCTCGTCTAGTTGAATCTGAAGATATGGACCTGCTGATGAAGAGGTCTGACTGTATCTAACTTAGGGTCTCGCATGCAGCTGGCACTTAATACATTTTATTGACTGTTTTAGCTAACATTTAACAGACAATTCCTAATAAAAACCTCTTAAAAGTAGGTAAAAAAAGGAAACCTTAGTCCTTCCTCTAAAGTGGCCAGAAAACCAGCCTGGGTAACATAGTGAGACCTTGTCTCTACAAAAAAGTTTTTGAAATTAGCTGCCTGCCTGTAGTCCCAGCCACTCAGGAAGCTGAGGCAGGAGGATCCCTTAAGCCCAGGAGTTTGAGGTTACAGTGAGCTAGATCACAACATTGCTCTCCAGCCTGGGTGACAACAAGGCCCTGAGGAAAAAAAAAAAAAAGGAAAGGAAAAAGGAAAGGAAGGAAAGAATGTAAGTGTTGAAAAAGAAGAGACAAAACTATGATTATTTGCATGTGAAATGGTAAATGTTAGACAGCCAAAGAAGCCTGAGAGAATCAACTAAGATTTTACTGGAAGTAATATGAGAATTCAGTACAGTGGCTATATACAAAATCAAGAGATTAGCACAAAAACCTCAACTACTTTTCCCATGTACCACCAATAACTAATTAGAAAATGGAAGAAAGATCCCATTTACAATGGCAATACAAATATATGAAGTATTTGAATAAAAATACAAAGATATTTAACAAAAAATATGTAAGATCTATATGATGGAAACCCTAAAACTCTTCTGAAAGACATTAAAAAGAAATGAACACATGACATGAGATAGCATGTTCCTATAATGTTGTACAGATGTCAATTATCAAATTAATCTACTAATTTAACATAATCCTATTCAAACCCCAAGATCGTTTTGGGTGGTGGCTGTTTGTGAGACAGGGTCTCGCTCTGTTGCCCAGGCTAGAGTGCAGTGGTATGACCACAGCTCACTGCATCCTCGACCTCCCAGGCCTCAAGCAATCCTCCCACTTCAGCCTCTGAAGTCTCTCATATCGTGTCCAAGAAATGGGGACAAATCTCACAAAGGAACTAGGCTCAGGAGGGCTGGAATATTCAGGGAAGGTTTCAAGCAGAAAGATGAACTTGAGTTGGCTTTTGAGAGATTCATAGGATTCCCACAGGCAGAGTGAAATAAGGCAATTTTAGGTGGACAACGCATAGACAAAAGCAGATATGCGGATGGTGTGACTGGGGTATGGTGAGGGGCTGCTCTGGCTGGAATGGAGGGCTGCCACAATAATGAAATGGTGAATGAGGCAAATAAGGTTGGATTGGTAGCATGGCGTCAAGGTTGCCAGCTTATTAAATCACTCTTCCAATATGCTAGCACTGGCCTGTTGGGAAAAGTAATGCATCATGTAATCAAACAAAAGGCAAACAGAGGCAAGCTCCAGGAATGGGCCCTGTAAACAAGACTTGTCCCAGAGTAGCCAGATGTAGGCTTTAGACATGTTAATGCAGGCTGAGCATCTCTAATCCGAGGGGGAATGTCTCATATGGTGTCCAAGAAACGGACACATCTCACAGAGGGCCTGGACTCAGGAGGGCTAGAGTATGAGACATCATTCCCCCTCCCCTGTGAACTTAAAAATGTGGCCAACAATTTTTTTGAAAGATGGCTACCCTGTAGTGCTTTAACTGGACCTATTTAGGCAACGCCTTACACACTGGAGAAGGATGATACTATGTGAATCTAATAAATCTACAAGACAATACTTCTCTCTTTTGGCTGTCTCCTTCCTCTCCAGGGTGATGACAACTCCGTGAGGGTGGAGATTATATGTCTCTCATCATTTCGGCAACAAGGAAATAAATTAGTGGCAGAGTAAGGGTGACTTGGTGAGTACATCCAATTGTTGACATAGTTTTGGGTAGGAGAAATTTTGCTATTATATCAACTTAACTTCTTAAAATGGTCTAATGGGATTAACTTGATTTCAATTCACAGAGATCTCCTGGAAGCGAGGATCCTTTAAAAATCCTGGAGTATACACTGCAGTAAAAGAACAAAGCATACCTCAGCCTTAAACTACTGAAGAAGAATGTCAAGTGGGGAAGTGGCTTTGGTTTTGAGTTTGTGGGTTCTGAATCCACACAAAGACAGGACTGCATTCTGAAAACCTGAATTAATTATTGTCCTTACCTCAATAAGACAAAAAATTATAATCAAAATCATTAGTATTACAGTCACAGATATTGCCAAGATGAGTCTGTTGTTATAGCCATATCCTGGAACTTCTTTCGTGAGCTAAAAAAAAAAAAAAAAAAGGAAAGAACAATTAAAAAAAAAAAGAATGAATGAAAGCTAACTTTTCAAAACCCCAGTATTCCAGTTGAGTAGCTTACAGGTTCTTTTTTATTTTTTTTGAGACAGGGTTTCACTCTGTCACCCAGGCTGGAGTACAGTGGTGCGATCACAGTTCACTACAGACTCTACCTCCCTGGGCTCAGGTGGTCCTCCCACCTCAGCCTCCCGAGTAGCTGGGACTACAGGCACGTGTCACCACACCCAGCTAATTTTTGTATTTTTTTGTGAAGACAGGGTTTCATTATGTTGGCCAAGCTGGTCTGAAACTCCTGACCTCAAGTGATCCACCCACCTCGGCCTCCGAAAGTGCTGGGATTACAGGCGTGAGCCACCACTCCCGGCCTACAGTTTATCTTGTACACTAATCTATTTCACTCTCTAAATGAACAAAGTGGGAGATCACTGTTATGGCCGAAGTTACAAAGTGGGAGATCACTGTTATGGCCAAAGTTACAAAGTGGGAGATCACTGTTATGGCCAAAGTTACAAAGTGGGAGATCACTGTTATGGCCAAGACAAGCTATGGCCTGGGAGTCCCAGGTTCTCTTGTGTGGGCACTTTCCTGGCATATGCTAAATGATGGGAAAGTCTGGGTCTCATGTTTCTGTGTGGTCTTCTGCCCTTTCTGTTTGCTTTTTCTGGGTCTTTCTGCTCTTTCTGGGTCTCATGTTTCTGTGTGGTCTTCTGCTCTTCTGCTCTTTCTGTTCCCTCTGGGCTTCCGTGCTTTCATTGATATAGTTCTCAGTTTTCCATTGGTCCGTATCCCATTCTGCCTTGGACGCCTTTACGTCCTGCTGCTCACTGAGAAGCTTCATCAGGAGGCCTGTCCTGGAGATGAGCTTGGCACAGGTCACTTGCACATGGGTCTCAGAGCAGTCCGTCTTCAAGGTCTGGATAACATGAGAAATGAACCTTCTCACATCGTTGTTGGGGATGAGGGACCGTAGCTGCTGGGTTAGCTGAATTTCATACTGATCACCTCGGGATGAGAGCAGTGGGTAATTGAAGCTTTTGGGCTCGGGGGACAGGTCAGTGCCCACGTTGTTGTATTCCCATTTTGTCTCAGTTTAACAGTTGGCCCTAAGTTGAATGCAGTCCCAGTGGAATCTGCCTCAGGAGGAGGATTGTAGGTTGTGTTTTCAGAGATGGTGCCTTCTGGTATAGTAGTGTTTTCCATAAAAATGTTTTCTTCAGAGGCATTTCTTACAGTTGTGTTTTTTACAGCAGTGTTTTCTATAAACTGTTCTGAAGGAGCAAATACTTCCGGAAAAGGGTTTTCTTGAGGACTCAGGTCTCCTGAGGATGAAAAAGCCTGTTGTGAAGGGGAATTTATGAGGCTCTTTGCTGCAGAGAATGGTGGCCTCTTAGTGAACATCAGCCTATTGAGAGAACTTTTCTTTCTCAACTTTCTAATCTTTTTGACCTTGGTGTTCTGTGGGCCACATGGCAGTGAGTTTTATGAAAGCGGTATTTGTTTCTGGAATGTACGATTGGTTTAGCAGCCTTCATATTTTTAACTCTAGCCTTTGCATTTTCTAAAATTAAAATGGCGTAGGCTAAGTCTTTCTATCTATCTCTGACCTGAGGTAGGGCTTTTGCAGGGGTGGAGGCAGAAGGCACGCCTGTGGAGAAGGGTTTCAGCAAAGAGGAGACTGTTGGCTTATGTTCTTGGGTGAATGAAGGCTTGACGGTGTTTCCCGCTACGTTCTTGGGCCCCTGCTCTATGTGAGACTGTTCCAGCTCCCCTGGGGCTGGACTCCCAAGCCTTTTTTCTATGGCAGCGTTCTGCACAAAGGCCTGCGCACCCTCTTCCCTCCTGATGCTCTGCTTTCCCACCTCTTTGAAGTGCCTTTTCTGGATGCTCCTTGGGCCCATGAGGACTCTGTTCATTCTCTGCAGGTTTTTGCCTACACTTTGAATCTTTGCCAGGCTGCTTTCCTATGGTTGGACAGTTTCTAAGTTCTTTTCAAATATTTGGCGTTTAAATTTGTTATCTAGAAGGCTGGACTGCATAAGCATGGCAGTTTTTTCTTCCCTTTTAACTTCATCGATTTTTTTCTCGTATTTCTGCATCTAATATCTTTTCTAGGAAATATACCTTTCTCAATTTATTTTCATAAGTTGAGTTGTTGGATGCAGGTTGAAGCGAGGGGCTCTTTGTATTGTTTTTCAGAATACTCAGGAGCCTATCTCCATCTTGCACATTTGAAAAAAACAGTTTAATGAATGGTAACAACATGGATTCCACATCTAGATTTCCTGCTGAGAAATAAGGCAAGATGTAACTTAGCACACTGATAACATTACTCTTGTCATTGGTGTCTAGCTGCTCACTCCCAAAGCCTGACAAGCTGATGCCATTGCTGTCTAAGGCCGCCTCTGGCTCAATAGTCAGCTCAGTGCTCATGTGCTTCTTCTGGGCTTGTAACACCTTCATGAACGCACCTTCTGGATTCCCTACAGATGCTTCTTCAGCTGTCAAAAAAGAAGAGACTGCTTTGATCTTGAAAGATGATGGGACGGCATGCATCAGTCCACAGCTGTACACCCCAGTCACACAGAGTAGGAGTCAGCAAACATTTGAGTGCCATTCAGAGAGGCGAAACATACACCCAATCCTAAACCTATGAAATGACAACAACAAAAGGAGGAAAAGACATTTTTTGAAAACATGGCCACCTACTTGGAACATTCCATAGTGTGACATAGAGTAACTCTGCTTAGGATTATTCCGTTGATTCCCAGGGGCCAATTGCCCAGGGCTCAGTGAAAGCCCAAGGTGGAAGACAAGTGCTTCCCTGATGAGCTGGCCTCTCTGCAGACTGCTCCGTACCCTGTGCTGTCCTGCCTCAGATGCAGAGAGAGCACAAGGCTCCCTCTCTTGTCCTCAGTGTGCCTGTGTTCTTGCTACCATCACAGCTGAGTGCAATGAAAGGCAATCCTCTGAGAGGAGCAGGGTGGAGATGCTAAAGCAGAGGCCCCCTCCCATTGCTGATAGATCCTCATCTGGCACACGCTCCACCCACCCACCCCATTCTCTGCTCCCACATATCGTTGCCCCATCACAGAAGACGTGACATGGAAAAAGCACTGTGTCCACCCTAGTTCTTTTCTCAAATTTGGGAAGGGATCCAGGGTGTAGGTTAAGAGGTTTTTAATTTGCCAGATGGTATGCCTATGTTGTTAAATATACAATGAATCTATGGTATGACAGCAGTTTCTGGATAAACATTACTTGAGGTCCTAAAATGCAGAAGGGAAAAAGCAACTTTTGTCAGATGACTACTTTGCTTTCATTTCATCTCTAATATTTTGGATGGGGAATCATCCAAATCTGACTGCATGAAGGTCAAGTGTGCCAATGTGCAGTTGGGTTTCTTTTCCAGAATTAAAAGTATTTTGGGTGGTGGGGAGGGTCAGAGGAAGAAGTAAAGATTGTGAGAAAGGAGAAACATGGGCTTGGGGAGAACCCAGAATTGGAGACAGAAGACCTGGCACTAGGCTACAGCACTGAGCACCTCTGATCTTGTTTTTCCTCATCTGTAAAAGGAGATTAACAATGCTTTTCTGCCCACCTCTTGGGGAGAAGGGAATAATTTAATTGGTAAAAAAGAAAAAAAAAGTTTTGAAAAATAAGTAACACTGTTTTTATATAAGTAGCCAAGCATTATTAATTATCCACCCCATATCACTGGTAGATACTTGTATTCAAGTTATCTGGACTGGAAAGCAGTCACATTTTAGTAGTCATGAAGTTGGTACTAATAAATCTAATCTACAGAAAAACTCTTGAAAGCACTTGAGCATTTGTTCTGTGAATAGAAAGGTTCAGAGCAAGTTCAGAGTTGGATGGTCTAAGAATGGAAAAGCCCTCCATTCCATTAGAAGAGCCAGGTAGCAATTTTTGGTTATGGAACCAGAAGCTCTCAGGCTTCAAATAAAACAGCATCACTTGTACTCTTATAAAATTGTAAAAACAAAACAGGATCTACATCTGTCCTAAAAGGCAGAGAGTACTTCACGCATATAAAACTAGCTTACAAACTACGTTGCACTATATGAGGAAATTATCACTTGGGGCAAAGCACCAAGCAGAGAGCACAGTACACTGGGCGTGGATGTTAATGTCATTCCCTAGCTGTCCCATTCCTTTCTCTTGGTCCTTCATGCATATGGAACAGTTCCATTATTAAATTTTGTGATAATAACTGAGAACCTGATTCCCAGCAAGGGAGTAGTTCAGAAGTTGAGGGAGTTTAACTCTGAATGAGTAAATAAAGCAATTATATCACTAGCTTAAAATTTTATCATCAATTAAAAATAAAAAATATAAAAACAAATACTTAAAATAATGTAACAATTTATCACCAGGCAATTTGGACTCACGACAATGTATGGTGTTTGTCCGACCTGCACTGTTGCAATGCAGCTTGACTGTCTTGCAGACAGCCTCAGTGCTATTTTTAAATTGGCAGAGGCAGCAGGCCATATGGCTAGGTAAGATCCTATAGATGAAAACACAAAACAATAAATTAGTGGTAAAGCAGTTACTTGAGTAGGCAAAGGAGGCAGGCCAACACTACCACAGGGCTGGGCAAAAAGGTGTTACTGAGGCCTGTGGACTGGACAGTTGGGTAGGAACCAGAAGACCAATGGGAAGGAGGACAAAGGTGCCCAACCGAAAGGTAAGCATGGCAGTGAGTATGGTATGCCTAGAATAAAGGTGGTTGGGATTAGAATTGGGTGACACTGATCAGTAGTTTAATTCAGAAGTATCTCTTCCCAACTCATAAGTCTCACTTTGGGCTGAAAGTACACAGGAAGAAGGTAGACTTCTACGAAGAGTCTGAATAAGCCCCCAACTTCTGGAAGCCCTTTCTCAATTCCTGTTGGGAGTGGGAAATATTAGAAATTACTCTGGGCATTAAAAATAGCTCAGATTAACCTGGATTGTGGGGTTAAAAAATAACAGAGATTGCATTGGCCAAATCTGGACAATTTGAGCATTCGAAAGAATAACAACAAAAAGCTACAACATAATTTATAAAAAAGAATCCATGAAGAATGATATTAAAAAAGAGAGGGAGTTGTTCTTTAATGAAATAATGCCAGCTAATAAATGTAGAAGGAATGACAATTTTAAAAAGTGTCACTTTGCAACCACCAGTGTAATAAAAATTGATTCAGACAAAGATTATCATTGATGGACACAGCTGGGTGAAAAGACATTTGGGCCAGGCACAGTGGCTCACGCCTGTAATCCCAGCACTTTGGGAGGCCGAGATGGGTGGATCACAAGGTCAGGAGATTGAGACCATCCTGGCTAACATGGTGAAACCCCATCTCTACTAAAAATACCAAAAAATTAGCTGGGCGTGGTGGCGGGTGCCTGTAGTCCCAGCTACTTGGGAGGCTGAGGCAGGAGAATGGAGTGAAGCTGGGAGGTGGCGCTTGCAGTGAGCTGAGATCGCACCACTGCACTCTAGCATGGGCGACAGAGTGAGACTCCATCTCAAATAATAATAATAATAACAAAAATAAAAGACATTTGAGAACAGGATCTTCACTGATCTCAAAGTACCAACCCACAGATTTTTTATTAATTACCAAAGGAAAAATTATTTTTTGTTTTTTTATGAGACAAGGTCTCATTCTGCCACCCAGGCTGAAGTACAGTGGCAAAATCATAGCTCACTGCAATCTCGACCTCCCTGGGCTCAAGTGACCCTCCAAATTCAGCCCCCCAAGTAGATGGGACTATAGACTTGCACCACCACGCCAAGCTAATTTTTTTTTAAATTGTATTTTTAGTAGAGACAGGGTTTCACCTTGTTGCTCAGGGTGGTCTAAAACTCCTGGACTCAAGCGATCTGCCTGTCTTGGCCTTCCAAAGTGCTGGGATTACAAGTGTGAGCCACCACACCCAGCAAAATAACTACAATGGAGAGATCTGGAAGATCACCTTAAACAAGTGATCAAACTTAGCATTATGAGCCACCTGCGGTCACGAGGCAGGAAGGATCCATCACCTATGCAGTATTCTTCCCCAAAATGCTTAACTTGACTCTCATCATGTGGAAACAGACAAATCCAGATTGTGGAACAATTTACAAGAAAACTGTCTTTGACTCTTAAAAAATGACATGTCATTAAAGATCAAAAAAAGTAGAGTAATGTTTTAGATTAAAGGAAATGAAGACATGACATGCAGTGCCCAATCTTTCATTGGATTCTGTACTGTTCTTTCATCTTTCTGGTATGTTTGAATTTTTTTCAAAATATAAATTTGGGCAAAAGAGATAACCAAGATAATTGATTAATGTATTGTTATGGCTTATTGGGGGCAGTTTCAGAGAAATAAAAACAATCTCTGTAACTGGAATAAATTCTCAAGGTTAATCTTAAGCAGTATAGATAGCATGGTCATTAAGAATACAGATTCCACAGCCAGACTAAGCTTAAATCCCAGCTCTGTGAATAATATGAATTTGGGCAAATTGATTAATCTCTGTTCCTTGGCCTTGTCATTATAATAGTACCTACCTCTAATGGGTTTTGAGGATTAAATGAATCAGTACCTGAAAAATGCCTGGCACACAGTGAGTGCACAACAAATGTTAACTACTATAATTATTACATTACAGAGGTTGTGGGGGGGCCTTTTCTGAGTCCTCCAAAAGGATAACTTTATTAGGGCCACATTAAGATTGTGGAAACAGAGGAGTATTCAATGGATACATGAAGTCTATGAGTTGGGGATACAATGTACAGAGTTTTAGATTAAAACTGCATCCAATAAGTTGGTCTGACACATCTTTCAAACCTATAGAGGAATAATCACAAGTGACTAGTATTCCTTTGGGTCCAATAGAAGCCTCTGATCTTCATATAGATTGAATGTACCCAGAACCATAACCTAGCATTTTACTTATATAGCAACCTTAACTCTTGACACAAAGGTGTTTCTTTTGTTTTGAGGCCGAGTCTCACTCTTACACAGGCTGAGTGCAGTGGTGCAATCTCGGCTCACTGCAGCCTCTGCCTCCTGGGCTCAAGTGATCCTTCCACCTCAGCCTCCTGAGTAGCTAGAACTACAGGTGTGTGCCACCACGCCTGGCTCATTTTTGTATTTTTTGTAGAGATGGAGTTTCACCATGTACTCCAGGCTGGGCTCGAACTCCTGAGCTCAAGCAACCCTCTCTCCTTGGCCTCCCAAAGTGCTAGGATTACAGGCATGAGCCCAAAGTTTTGTTATTCTTTTCCTGCCCCCAACTTTTGATTTTAAACATTTTCTTTTTTTCCTTTAAGCCTTAGGATGGCTGGGAAGCATTTTCAAATGGTGTAATGAACACCTGTATAACTTTCATCTGGAATCAACAGTAGCTAATACTTTGTCACATTTGCTTTCCATGTGTGTATGTCTATACATTTTCTGGACAAACCATTTGAGAGTCAGTTGCAGACATAATGACCCTTCACCATTAAAGACTTTGGTGTGCAGCCCCCAAGAACCAAGGCATTCTCCTACATAACCAGAATACTATCATCACCCAATGGAACTTAATATTATCATTGTCTACTGTGCAGTCCATATACACATTTTCACAATTGTCCCAATCATAACATGGCTTAAAAAATTCAGAATCCAGTCAAACATCAGTTATTGCATTTAGCGTTCATGATTTTTTTTTTTTTTTTTTTTTTTTTTTTTTTTTTGTAGAAAGACCTTTAATACTTCTGTTTACAAAATTCAGGCATACATTTCAGTTTGCCCTGAACTGTGCCTAAGGCTTTGTGCTCATCTCTGCCAGGGTGTCTGTGCCCCTCATGTGCTGCTGATGAGGATGCAGAGCAGAGTCTGGGGTCCGGAGGCCTTGCAGGGCCTCAGGGGAAGGGGAATGTGAATGTGGCCCAGCCCAGAGGACCCTCCATTTCATCGATTTTGGATTGGGCGACAGAGGAAGCAGATGTCGGGGCTGTGGACCTGCTGGTCTGGGCAGGGGTCTGGGGACCCTGGGGCTGCCTGCCATGGTCTAGAGGAGGAGGCTGGGGCCACTTCCTACAGGTGGCAGCGGCTCAGCAAGGGGAGGCCTGGCCACCAGGGGCTTGAACATTCGCTCACTGGAGACTTTGTGCTTGGCCCTCAGCAGCATGGCTGGGGCTGTGGTCCCGTGTGAGGTGTGCTGGGGGGTGTGTAGGTGGCTGGTGGTGACTGTTTGTGCCAGAGTGACACAGGCTTCCGTGGGCCTGGCTGGGGACAGTTAAAAAGCTGAAAAGGTACTTGGCTTTGTGAGGGCAAGGCTTGGGAGGCGGGGCCCTGCAGGAGACACCCCACAGGGACGCTCGATCCAAGCCTGTTAAGGCCGTGGAACTCGAGGGTAGGCAGTGGGCTGGGCCCCCATGGGGTCAGAACGGAGGTGAGGGCTGCCCTGGAGGAACAATACCCTAGTATTGCTCTACCTTAGTCAGCTGGGCAGCCCAAGTGTGGGACCCTGCTCAGGGAGTACCTCAAGGGCCTGGGCCTGGGTGGCACCGGCAGGCTTGGACACCGCCCTGGCAGCAAGGGCCCCGTGGAAGGCAGGAGACCCGGCAGGGGGTGCCACCCAGTGTGGATGGAGCGGCAGGGCGGGGGCACTGGTAAGTCACTGGGCAGAGGCACGAGCACGTCCATGTAGCTGAGCAGGAAGAAGTCTGACTGGCCATCCAGCACGCCCTCCTACCAGTTCTCGTCAATGTGCTTTAAGTTAGCAATTTTTTCTTTTTCTTTTTTTTTTTTTTTTTTGAGACGGAGTCTCGCTCTGTCGGCCAGGCTGGAGTGCAGTGGCCGGATCGCAGCTCACTGCAAGCTCCGCCTCCCGGGTTTACGCCATTCTCCTGCCTCAGCCTCCCGAGTAACTGGGACTACAGGCACCCGCCACCTCGCCCGGCTAGTTTTTTGTATTTTTTTAGTAGAGACGGGGTTTCACCGTGTTAGCCAGGATGGTCTCGATCTCCTGACCTCGTGATCCGCCCGTCTCGGCCTCCCAAAGTGCTGGGATTACAGGCTTGAGCCACCGCGCCCGGCAGCAATTTTTTCTTATATGGCTTGTGCTTTTTTGTTTCTTACCTGAGAAATCTTTAAGAACCTGTTGTTTAATCCAAAGTAGAAAAGATTCACTATGTCTTCTCCCAGAAATTGTGTAGTTACATCATTTAGGTCTCTGATCCATTTTGAGTTAATTTACATATACGGTGTGAGTTTTTTTTTTTTTAATTTTATTTTTACTTCTTGGAGAAACGAGATCTCATTACGTTGCCCAGGCTGGTTTCAAACTCCTGGCCTCAAGTGATCCCCCTGCCTCATTCTCCCAGAGTGCTGGGATTACAGGCATGAGGCACCATGCCTGCCCTTCTTTGTAGATACAGCTATGGACATATATCTATATCTTCACCAAGTGTGGTGGCGCATGCCTGTAGCCCCAGCACTCTGGGAGAATGAGGCAGGAGGATGGCTTGAACCCAGGAGGTAGAGGTTGCAGTGAGCCAAGATGGCACCACTGCACTCCAGCCTGGGTGACAGAGAAAGACCCTGTCTAAAAAAAAAAAATGTATATATATATGAAAGCAATTTCTTCAGTTACACAGTGATGGGGCCTGTTGTCCCTCCCTCTTTACCTGCATGGTGTAACGTTGTCTGGCTGATGTCTCTGTCTGTAGTCACTCCCTTCCTAAACTATCCTGCACACAGTCATCATATCAACTCCCCAGAAGTGGCCTGCAAAGACCAGCATCTCCTGGGAAATTATTGAAGATGCAAATTCTTGGTCCCACTCTAGACCAATTGAATCAGTAACTACGAGGGCGGAGTCCAGAACTGAGTTCTAAGGCGCCCTCTCAGGGATTGTGATGCAGATCTATCTACAGCACTGCTGCGGTAACACACGGTTCCCCATGATGGCTCCTCAGCTGGGCATTCAAAGCCCAAGAAGATCTGGCTTCAATTTCCTACTCTCTCTCCTTGTACTCTACAGGTACTCGTGGCATTCCTTGAATACCTTCCTGTGTTTTGCCCTTCTCCCATTTTCCTTTTGCAAGCTTAGAATATTTTCCCCAAGATGTCTGTCCGATGTTACACAATGACCCTTCAAAGTCCTATTCAAATGGCATTGTTCTAGTAACATCCTCCTGGGTTCAAATTGAAGTCATTTCCCCCTCTTCTATGCTTCAGAAACAATTTATCCCTCCTAGTTCCCACACTGATTTCTTTTTAATGTAGTTATTTTTCATCCCATTTTTTCTGAGCATAAACTCCTTGCAAGCATGGACTAGGTCTTGCTCATCTGCATTGCCCACCATATTTAAAACTGACACGTGGAAATAAAGCAAATTCAAATATTTGTAAAATAAATGAATAGCTGGCGGAGTGAGTAGAAGGAACATGACTATTTTAAAGGAATTGTAGTTTTATTACTTCATGGCCTCTGCAGCACTTTGGCATCCACTTGTGGGTCTTTACACCCACTTTCCTTAAGCCTTCTACATTTGAAAGAATCTGTTTGCAAAAGAGCATCACTAATGAGCTTAATAAGGATTAATGACATACACACCTCTATGGACAAAGGATAAGAATCATGCTGTCATAGCAATGAACATAGTATCTTCTTGTCTCTAAACAGATAGAAATACTATGCAGGTATTGTTTTCTTGGTAACAGGGCTGGGGAGATAGTTATTTTGTAATTAGCGGAGAGTTGGGGCCATTTCTGACACGCTTACTTAGTGTAAACATTTCTAACTCTACCACTTAACCATCATTTTAAACATCTGTTTTAATATAACAATTCCTGAAATGAAATCCTTAATATCAGTCTATTATCTTGGGAGCTTAATATTCTTGATAATATTATTTATATAATTCAGCTGATTTTCAATATTTAAATGTTAATTTAATTCCGATTAAATTACCAAAAAATTCTGGATTAATGATGTTCAAATGAATGTAGGTAGTCTATGTTTTCTTCTCTGTTAGACAACAATCTGAAGTTAACGTTAATTCCTTTCATCCTCCTAAACCAACCTTTTCAAATCTTTTTTTGTGAAGGTCAGACAGTAAATATTTTAAGGCTTTGTGGGCCACATGCGATCTCTCTCGCATATTTCTCTTTCTTTTCTTTTTCTTTCACAGTCCTTTAAAAATGCAAAAAACATTCTTAACTTAATGGGCTATTAAAAAAATAGACCTTAGATAAGATTTGATCTATTGGCTGTAGATTGAATAGAAGAAGATGGTGTGTAAACCCTTGTAAAACAAGGTTCATATGGGTGTCAGTCACTGCTCAGATCTTATTACCATGTGAATTTTTTTCTCTCTGTATAATTTAAAAATTGAAATTGCATAGGAGGTAGCTAATGCTAGAGATGGGCTGAGACCCTATACAAACTTACAGAATTGCAGAATTTTATTGCTCGAAGAAATCTTAGAGATTATCTAATTTGAACCCCTTATTCATTTTACAGATAATAAGACTAAAAACTCATAAATATGATTAACTAACTTACAAATACCAGAGGGATAGCAGGCCTTCAAATGAATCCTTATGTAATTCAGTCAAATAATTTTCATTGAGAATTCTGGAAAATGAAAAAGTTATTTCTAGATTAAAATGCAAACTACAACAATTTGTTACACAGGACTATCTCCTGCATATGGAGGAAAGCTGGATCATGGTCATTTCAAGATGGTGATATCTGCTCTGCTTTCATTAAAACCTTTTCTTACATTTTCCTTTTTGTGTTCATCTCTCTCCACCACACACACACACACACACGCAAGCAGGCACACACAAGCACACTGCTACCCACTCTTCACACCAAATTGTAAATTTCATGCCTCCTCTCTAGATCACAGAATACCTTTCAGAATCCAACTCTGGGTGGCACCAAGATCATCAGAACCTCCATTTCCTCCTCTGTTTTCCCAAATCTTTTCTTTTTTCTTTTTTTTTTTTTTTTGAGACGGGGTCTCGCTCTGTCACCCAGTCTGGAGTGCGGTGGCGGGATCTCGTCTCATTGCAAGCTCCACCTCCCGGATTCACGCCATTCTACTGCCTCAGCCTCCCGAGCAGCTGGGACTACAGGCGTCCGCCACCACGCCCGGCTAATTTTTTTTGTGTGTGTGTTTTTAGTAGAGACGGGCTTTCCCCATGTTGGCCAGTGATCCCCATGTTGGCCTCGTGATCCACCCGCCTTGGCCTCTCAAAGTGCTGAGATTACAGGCGTGAGCCACCGCGCCCGGCCATAAATTTTCCCAAATCTTATTATGAAAGCTTCACATGGAACCATGTCAGGGCTGCAAGTGAAGCCATTCAACTTTTTCCCCCATTAAAGAAATTTGACAACTACAATCTGCATAAAGTGCACATAACATAAATGTTGTTTATATTTAATTTAATTTCTGAGACAGGATCTCACTCTGTTGCCCACATTGGTCTCAAGCTCCTGGGCTCAAGTGATCCTTCTGTCTCAGCCTCCCAAAGTGTTGCGATTGCAGACATGAGCTACCTCACCTGGCCAAATATTCAGTTTAATAATTATAAAGCAGATACCCATATAACAGCATTACAAAAGATCATTGTTAGCATTCCAGAAGCCCTAGTGTGCCCCTTTCCAATCATATCCCTCTCTCTAACCCTAGTAGGTAACCACTCTCCTAACTTTTGTAATAATTTTCTTGCTTTTAAAATGTAGTTCTGGCCTGGTGTGGTGGCTCATGCCTGTAATCCCAGCACTCTGGAAAGCCAAGGCGCGTGAATCACCTGAGGTCATGAGTTCGAGGCCAGCCTGGACAACATGGTGAAATGCTGTCTCTACTAAAAATATAAAAATTAGCTGGGCATGGTGGCGGGCACCCGTAATTCTAGCTACCTGGGAGACTGAGGCAGGAGAATCCCTTGAACCCGGGAGGTGGAGCTTGTAGTGAGCCAAGATTGCACCATTGCACTCCAACCTGGGTGACAAGAACAAAATTCTGTCCCCCAAAATAAAGTGATTCTCCTTTCTCAACTTCCCAAGTAGATGAGATTATAGGCACCCACCACCAGGCCTGACTAATTTTTGTATTTTCAGTAGAGGCGGGGTTTTGCCATATTGGACAGGCTGGTCTCAAACTCCTGACCTCAGGTGATCCACCTGCCTTGGCCTCCCAAGGTGCTGGGATTACAGTTGTGAGCCACTGCACCTAGCAAGTGTTTTATTTTTAATTTAGAATTCATGTATGACTTGTCTATATAAGTTGAACTAATGATGTGACACATAAACTGTTGTGGAAAATGTTACTTAGAATGTAAGCATGTTTTCCAAAATCATTTATATGTCTAAACTAATTTCCTCTATAAATCAGTAAGAAAATGATAAAACAATTCAAATGGAAAATGAACAAAGGACAGAAAACTCAGAGAAGAAACACAAATGTTCAATAAACATCTGATAATTCATGAGTTATCAAAACAATTCAAATTTGGATGGAATCCCTTTTATTCATCCATAACTTCAACAAAAAGTTGGAGAATACCCAGCGGTGAAAGGTGTGGGGAAATGAATGCTGTCATATTTTGCTGCCAATAGAGTAAGTTGGCATAACATTTTTGAGGGCAATTAAAATTTTATATCTACATAGTCTTCACCCCAACAATTCCATTTCTAGATATCTACTCTACAGAAATACTTGCCCATGTTCACAAAGAAGCATGTACAGGGATTTCATTGCAGCAATGCATGTAACAAGAAAACTAAGTATAATCTAAACATTCATCAATGGGGGAATTATTAAATAAACTATGATGCATCCAGACTATGGATGATGCGGGAGTTTAAATGAATGGGGTGACCCTCTAAGTACTGAGAAGGAAAGAAATCATGAAGTGAAAGAATATATCATATGATAAGTGATACACTTATGATATCATATAAGTGATATACTTATCGTATGATATCATATAGGTGATACACTATCAAATGATATCATATAAATGATACCATGAAGTAAAAGAATCAAGTTGCAAGATGTTACCACTTATGTAAAGAAAAAAGATTTTAAAAACCACACAACAAATCTATTTTGCTTTATGTAAATATGAATGTAGGCAAATGGGAAAAGTCTGGAAGCATGTACACTAAATGCAGAGTAACATTACCTCAGGGATGAGGGAGTAGGGCACAAGGAGGGTTTTTGTTATACCTGTTATTGCATTTTTATACATTAAAAATAGAATCATGGGCTGGGGGTGGTGGCTCATGCCTGTAATATGAGCACTTTAGGAGGCCAAGGTGGGAGGATCACTTGAGCCCAGGAGTTCAAGACCAGCCTAAGCAGCATAGGAAGACCCTGTCTCTACAAAAAATACAAAATTAGGTGGGCGTAGTGGCTTGCACCTGTGGTCCCAGCTACTTGGGAGGCTGAGGTGGGAGGATCGCTTGTGCCTGGGAGGTGAAGGCTGCAGTGAGCTGTGATTGTGGCACCGCACTCCAGCCTGGGGTACAAAGTAAGATCCTGTCTCTTAAAAAAAAAAAGAAAAAAGAGGAAAAAAAAGAATATAACCATGTATTATTTCTATGATAAAAATAAATTTAAATTGCCTCTTATTTTAAAGAGAGTCTACAAAATTTAATTTTAAAATAACCATAGGATTGCAGTCAACAGGGGAAATATCTTTTCTCAAAGGTACTGACCTCAAAATTCTGGACCAAGAAGGCTCTTACAATGCAGTTAGTTTTTTGTCATATTTGGAGAGAATATACTCACAGTTTCCACTGTATGCTTTCCATCCATTTCCATCAATGTAAGAAATATACTTTCCTTGGAAATTTCTGTGAAGAAACACAGTTTATATCCTTGAATAGGTAGGAAAAGAATGGACAGGAGAAGTAAAAGAATCATGGCAACCTTGTCGGGGATATTCGGTTACAGAAAATAACACCTGCTTTCTCATTTCCGGAGCTATCAGCTTCCCAGTTTGCACAATTCATCAAGAAACAATGCGGGGCCACCGGCACAAATGATGAGGCATCTCCCGGAAGCTTAACTTCCTATCCGTCCCATCTCTTGGACAGACATTCCAGTTAATTACTTTGAATGTTAAGTATTTTATCCAAAAGCACTTATATGTCTAAACAAACTCCTACAAATCAACACAAAAATGGTAAATAATTCAACAGAAAAATGGGCAAAAGCTTATCATTATTAATAAATAAGCAGAAAGAAACCCTGTGCCAGGTAGCACCAAAGCTTTGCCCTCTGCTGAAACATCCTAGGCTTTTTCTTTCCACTCTTATTACAACCGACCTCATTTGGCCCCTTCACACTTTACTCCTACGTTTTGCGAGACCTTTCTATTTTGTCTCCCTGAAATAAGCTTTTCCTTTTGGGCACTCTACATATGGATTCTAAAATAATCCTTTGCATGTCTACACTTGAACATAAAGCAAAAAACAAAATGAAATAAAATAATTCTCCTGTTTTAATCATTCATCTCTCTTGCTTGGAAACTTTCCATGGCTTTCCATACCTCACTGTGTAACTTTCAAACTCCTGTAGCTGATAGTCAAGGTTTTACATAATCATATCTTCACTGCTCCCTCACCTAATTCTTTGCAGCCAAATTGGTCTACTAAATTCCAACCATAGCTGTAGCCATGCCTTTCCTTTTCCTAGACTGTACTCCCATTTTTTTTTTCTATTTAACAAATTATAGCTACTCTTTAAGACTCAAGTAAAGTTTTAGCTTATCCACGTAGCTTTCCCTGATCTGTACACCTCAAGAATCACTGATTCTGATAAATTATAGCACTGATGGTCTGCATTATCTTTTAGTAATTAATTATATATATACCTCCATTTTTATGCCTATTCTCTTTCTTCCCTCCTATCATTTTCATGTTCTGGAGACAGTAGCGTACTTGGCCCTGGGTTTGACACAAAATGAGTGCTACATATAGAAAGCCAGGGACAAAGATGAGTTGTGGACATAACTAAAGGACTGAGTAATCATGTTAACAGCCAACACTCCTACATATGCTAGGCACTGATGAAATGTTTCATATATTCACTCACCTAAATTTCACAGCAATCCTATGAAATGGGAACTGGCATAACCCCCAGTTGAAAGGTGAGGAAATTGAGTCACAGAGCGGAATAACTTGCTCTGGGTCACCAAGCTAATAAACAGCCCTGGGTTCAAACCCAGGCAGCCTGGCTCTGGAATCAACTCTTAACCACTTAGAGCCTCATCACTGAGATCGGGAGAGGGACAGGCTGCTGTAAAGAGGGTGAAGCGAAAATGGGAGGAGAGCAGTGGTTAAGCAATGATGTGATGGGGCTAAATAAAAATGGATGAGAAAATGAGTAAAAGACTGGAGTAAGAGTAAAAGTCTGGAGTAAAAGTAAAAGACTGGAGAAGGGGCCTAACAGTAAAGGAGAATAAAGAGAAGGGAGAGTTGACAAGCAAAGGTGAAAGCAGAAAGTCAGTTGCCCGTATGGCTTGGGGAGATAAAGAAGGCCCAGGAAGGCCTCCAGGAAAAGGCTGCCATGTCAGGCAGGACACAGAGGACAATCGAGGAAAGGTGATTCTTACAAGATGGTGAAGGTGCCATTGTAGGTGTTGGGCTCTGGCACAGGCACTTGGTGGAGCCTCTGCTTTGGGCTGAGATTAATACATGACAGTGTCTCATCTCCGCAGGTACAGAGCTCACATATGTTGGTGCTTGCGGAGGCCTTCTGTTCCTCTCGTGCAGTTAAAGCCTTATTTTGGGTGTAACTTTCAGACTGTACCAGTGAATCCTGAGTAGGTTCTAGTTCAGTAGGTGAACCTGTGACTTCAGTCAGGCTTCGATGCAGAGTCTGAACCTGGTCTGGACGAGGAGCTGTAGTCTCCTCCAGGGCTATAGAATGTCCAATCTCTGTAGAAGGTTCTGGAGTGATGGCAAGTCCCAGGTCTGGAGGCTGAGTTGAGGTCTCCTCCGTGGTTGGAGACTGTTTAACCTCTATAGGAAGTTCTGTAGTTATGGTAAGCTTCAGGGCCAGAGGTTGAACTGTGACTTGAGTCAGGTTTGAATGCTGAGCCTGACCCTTGTCGGAAGGTGGAAGTGTCACCTCAGGGTGTTTTGGAGGAGGAGCTGTAGTCAGGGCTGTAGAAGGTTCAACCTCTGTCGTGGATTCTGGAGTGATGGTAAACCCTAGGTCCAAAGGTTGAACTGTGGCTTGAGTCAGGTGTGAATGCTGAGTCTGAACCTGGTCTGGATGTGGAAGTGTCACCTGATGGTGCTTTGGAGGAACTAGAGTCTGCTTCAGGGGTGTAGAATGTTCAGCCTCCGTAGTGGGTTCTGGAGTGATGGTAAGTCCCAGGTCCAAAGGTTGAACTGTGACACTGGGCAATGTTGAATGCTGAGCTTGATCCTGACCTGGTGTTGGGACTGTCACCTCATAATGAGCTGGAGGTTGAGCTGCAACCTCCTTAGGTGGCTCTGGAAGCAGAGCTGGGACCATCTGCTGGCTTGAAGGTTCTACCTCCTTAGGGGGGCTCTGGAGCCTGAACTGTGACCTCCTGCTGGGTTGGAGAAGGTTCTGCCTCCTCAGGGGGCTCTGGAATCTGAGGTGGAATCTCCTGCTGAGTTAGAGATGGTTCCACCTCCTGAGGGAACACTGGAGGCAAAGATGGGGTCATCTGCTGGGTCAGAGAGGGTTCTATCACCATAGGGGGGTCTGAAGACTGAGCAGGGACTGCCTGCTGGACTGGAGAGGATTCTACCTCTTTAGTTGGCTCTAAAAACCGAGTTGGGGCCTGCTGTAGGACTGGAGATGGTTCGACCTTCTCAGGTGGCTCTGATGGCTGAGCTGGTATTTGCAGTGGAGGGCTGACCTCTTCAGTGGACTTTGGAGGATGACCTGAGGCTTCCTGCTGGGTTGCAGATGGTTCAACCTCCTTAGGGGGCTCTGGTGGCTCAGCTGGGAACTCTTGCTGGACTGGAGAAGGTTCTGCCTTCCTGGGGGGATCTGGAATCTTAGCTGTGGCCTCTTGCTGGACTGGAGATTCAATCTTTTCAGGAGAATGCAGAGGTGGGGAAGGGAGATCAGGCTGGGCTAGAGAAAAGTCAGCCTGCTCAGTGGGAATAGGAGGGTTGTCCTGCTGGGCTGGAGAAGATTCAATCTCCCCAGAAGACTCAGAAGGCTGAGCTGGCTGCTCTTGCTCACCAGGGGAAAGTTCAGCTCCACATGAAGAACGGGAGGCACAGTTGGGAACCCCTGTTGGGTTGCAGAAGGTTCCACCTCCTCTGAAGGCTGAATTGGGGCCTAAGATTCTGTCTCGTTGGTAGGCTCTGAAGTTATGGTAACCTCCACATCTGCAGGTTTAACTGTAATGTTGGGCAAGTTATAATGAGCTTGATCCTCACCTGGAGGTTGAACTGTCACCTCATGATTCGGTGGAGTTTGAGCTAGACTCTCCATAGAAGCCTCTGGAGGCAGCCCTGGAGGCTCATCTGAGTTCACCGGAGTTCTGGAGGCAGGCTGCTGGGATACAGTATATCCATACTTGAATATTCATCCTGCAAAGTTTGTTTCTGACTTTGAGGTTTGGATAATTGGTTAGCAAGGCTCCAGTGCTGAGCTAGATCTTTCTTCAGGTTCTTGGGCGAAACAATAAATTTGGTTGGTTTTGAAACCTTACTGTCTAGTGGAACAAGTATTTCATCTGCCTGATGACCTGCAGCCCGATCTAGATCTGCTGTTTGAACCTTACTTTTGAGGTGAGGAGGCTGAACTGGGTCTAGTTCTGATCACCATCCAGCACTGGAACCACCTCTGGGAGCCTTGCTTGCGGAGTCGGCTTGTCATTTAGATCCTGGTGGGCAGCCGAGAACTGCTCTGGCCTCGGGGGCAGCTTTCCAGCTGAATCTGTGTCCAGGAATGGAACCAAATTTTTCAGTCCGTTCCTGGGGCAGGACTCACATCTGGGAGGAAGCAGAGGACCCCAGGTAATCAAAGCCCTCCGGGTCTGCCAGGGGAGTAAGCGCATGGGGAGATTCCCATGCGAGATCAGATGAGCAGGAAGACCAGGGCTCAGTCGGCCCCAGGGGTTACAGGTTAGCTGGAGCGATTGGGTCCTTGACCCACTCCAGAGGCTGAACTTCCTGGACTAGAAGCCACAAGAGTTGCCACGTGAGGAGGGGCTGTGGGCCCCAGAGACGCAGCCGGGACATGACAGGCGCTGGCGCCTCGCACTGAGCGTGAGCCATTCTGGCAGCCCGGAGAGGCTCGTGCCCCTGATAAGAGTGCGCCCAGCCCAGTCTTTATGACATCTTTATGCCACCTTTATTAGGCTCGGGTCCAGATCTGCTCCGTGTCACCGTGGCAATCTTATGTCACAGTCCCGCCCAAGCCCTCCTTCCCCCACACCCTCGCTGGAACACCCCTCCTCTCCCCTCCCCTTAGCGAGGAAGGAGTTGGGCCTCAGACCCGGGTAGTCCCAGGACTCCAGCGGTCTGTTGTGGTACGGTCACCACAACAACAAGGAAGTCACCGTGGGACCCTGCCTCAGGATATTCAGAAGAGCTAGTCCAGTTCTGGCAGCCTGAACTCTTCCTCCTCCAAGGTGAAATTCAAGAATACTCTTCCTTGCAAGGAGAGCAACTGATCTGCAAAATGAGCGCCAGTTAGGGTGGCAGGCAGAACGCATATTATAGTCATTTATTCCAAAATTTGCCATTTTCGCCAAAGTTTCGGTATCTTTTGTTGCATGTTTGATAATTAATTCACCACCCTATTAGGTAGGGGCTGCCAGGGAATAAGCGAGGACTCCAAGTTTTCTGTAGGAGGGGTGTTGGGTGTGGGCAGTTCAGTCTGGGAGAGAAGGCTTTAATCCGAGTGAGGAGTCCTTTGCACTCCCCTGAGAGGAGGCTGAACTGTCATCCTGCCTTGACTTAACACAGCCATTACCCTAGAAGTTACAGCGCCACCCTTCAGAGATCAGCCCTGTGTGCACACATGGAGAAGAGGCTTAGGTTGTTAAAGTCAGCATGTTAAATAATTTCTTGAAAGGTGACTATAACTAGAACCCAGCTGACTTCCCTCACAGCCATTCTTACCTACTTTATTACTGTCTGGCACAATTACCAGCATGTAAACTCGAAGAAGGTGCTTCATCTTATTCCATGCCTAGCATAGGCATAGGGTGCACAGTGATGGTGTTAAAATTGAAAGGGGGCCGGGCACAGTGGCTCACACCCGTAATCCCAGAACTTTGGGAGGTCGAGGTGGGCGGATCACTGAGGTCAGAAGTTCAAGGCCAGCCTGACCAATATGGTGAAACTCTGTCTCTACTAAAAATACAAAATTAGCCAGGCATGGTGATGCATGCCTGTAATCCCAGCTACTCGGGAGGCTGAGGCAGGAGAATCGCTTGAACCTGGGAGGTGGAGGCTGCAGTGAGCCTAGATGGCGCCATTGCACTCCGGCCTGGGCAACAAGAGTGAAACTCTGCCTCAAAAAAATAAAATAAAATAAAATAAAATTGAAGGGATTCCAAGATTCACCTCATTTAGGGATGGATCTATTGTTATCATCGGATTTCTGAAATCAGTGCTGACTTCCTCTCACATTTCACGGGAAGCTAGATTTCTTAAAGCGTGACGTTTTCTTGGTGGGTTTTATTTAAATTGAATTAAAATAATTATTTTACAGGTAAAAACTTCAAAACACTTTGCAACTTTGGGGTGAAAGTTAAATAAAACACTCTAGCCCCAAATTAAATTCTCACTGAAATGAAACTTTTGCTCCTTTGTTAAAAATAAACATTCTATATATAGTAAATAATGACTGTTTTGAGATTAATTTAGAAACTTAATCCCTATTTAAGAGCTTTCATATACAGTCATGCGTTGCTTGCCATGTGAGGAGGAATTTGAGAAATGTGTCATTAGGTGATTTCACCATTGTGCTAACATCACAACATATTAGGTGATATAGCCTACAGCACACCTAGGCTATATGGTATGGCCTATGACTCTTAGGTGACAAACCTGTACTGTATGTTACTGTACTGAATACTGAAGGCAATTGTAACACAATGGCAGGTATTTGTGTATGTAAACATGGAAAAGGTATAGTTAAAATATTGTGTAAAAGATAAAAATGGGAGCCGGGCACAGTGGCTCACGCCTGTAATCCCAAGACTTTGGGACGCCAAGGTGGGTGGATCACCTGAGGTCAGGAGTTTGAGACCAGCCTGGCCAACATGGCAAAAACCAGTCTCTACTAAAAATACAAAAATTAGCTGAGTGTGGTTGTGTGTGCCTATAATCCCAGCTGCTCAGGAGGCTGAGGTAGGAGAATCACTTGAACCTGGGAGGTGGAGGTTGTGGTGAGCTGAGATCACACCACTGCACTCTAGCCTGGGCAACAGAGTGAGACTCTATCTCAGGAAAAAAAAAAAAAAAAAAAAAAAAAAAAATATATATATATATATATATATATATATATATATATCTGTATAGGGATAGCTCCATTATACTCTTATGGAACCATCATCATATATGTGGTCTATTGTTGACCAAAACATCGTTTTGCAGCACATGATTGTAAATAATTGACAGAAAGATCTTCAGCAAAATATTCCACCCAAGATATATGGGAGATATTGAGATCCAAGTAATAAGCCATATTTGAAAGGCATTATAGTTTTTGAAAGCTGTAGCACAATCATTCTTAAGGCCAGTTACTTTTTCCCCACATCTCTGGGATCCCGTTTGAAGGGAGTTCTAAAAAGGTCTGTGTTCAATCAGCCCAGCATCCCTGACTCCTGGGGCCGGGGGAGACTAACCCCTCTCCTGTGTCCACAGCTGCAGTAATGCAGTCCTGAGTTCTGCTCTCCAAACTCCAAATAAGGGGTCAGAGCCAAAGGTCAAGACTTTAGGAAAAGCCCCAGAAATACCCTGCCCTCAAAAAAGCAGTTTCAGAGTTTCACATTTTCCTAAGAATGAAACAAATTATCCTCCACATACTGCTGCTTGTTTTGAATTATGGTTACACTGGCTATGTTATCCAACCCTTGAGGTTTTTTTTTTTTTTTTTCCCTGGAGACAGAGTCTTGCTCTGTCACCCAGGCTGGAGTGCAGTGGCACGATCTCGGCTCACTACAACCTCCGCCTCCCGGTTGAAGCAATTCTCCTGCCTCAGCTTCCCAAGTAGCTGGCATTACAGGTGCCCGCCACCATACCCAGCTAATTTTTGTATTTTTAGTAGAGACAGGGTTTCACCATGTTGGCCAGGCTGGTCTTGAACTCTTGGCCTCATGATCCACCCGCCTCGGCCTCCCAAAGTCCTGGGATTACAGGCGTGAGCCACCGCACCCGGCCTGTTTGTTTATTTTTTGAGATGGAGTTTTGCTTTTTTTGTGCAGGCTGGAGTGCAACGGTGCGATCTCAGCTCACCACAGCCTCCACTTCAAGCGATTCTCCTGCTTTGGCCTCCTGAGTAGCTGGGATTACAGGCATGTGCCACCGTTTCTCCATGTTGGTCAGGCTGGTCTTGAACTCCTGATCTCAGGTGATCTGCCCGCCTCGACCTCCCAAAGCACTGGCATTACAGGTGTGAGCCACTGCTCCTGGCCCTGTTACCCATGAGTTTTTATCTCCACATACTTGAATTAAACCGTGTAGAGTTCTTCTTCCCATCTGACATCTACAGTCTCTTCACTGGGTCTGTACTCCACAGCTATTTTACCACTTTCTGAAATAAAGTTATCAAGGATCAATGCAGAATCTTTTTCATTCTAAAACTTCCTGCATATGATGGGAGCACCCCACAGTAAGACATTCTTTTGGTTTCTAAAAGCAGAAAATAAGAGCATTTTCCTGGAAATTTCCTCATCTCCTCATCATACACTTCGATTTTCCTTCTTTTCTTTTTTTGTTTGTTTTCTTTTCTCTTTTCTCTTCTCTTCTCTTTTCTCTTCTCTTCTCTTCTCTTCTCTTCTCTTCTCTTCTCTTCTCTTCTCTTCTCTACTTTTCTCTCCCTCCCTCCCCTCCTCTCTTCTCTCTGTCACTCAGGCTGGAGTACAGTGGCACTATCATAGCTCACTGCAGCCTGGAATTCCTGGGCTTAAGTGGTCTTCCTGCCTCAGCCTCCAGAGTAGCAGGGACTACACCACTGTGCCCGGCTACTTCTCTTTTTTAGAGACATGGCCCCGCTTTGTTGCCCAGGCTGGTCTCGAACTCCTGACTTGAAGTGATTCTTCTATCTTGGCCTCCCAATGTGCTGAGATTTGAGGTGTGAGTCACCATGTCCGGTCTCACACCTCAGTTTTTAACATATGCATGAAATAGCAACTGTGTTTGGTTCAAAGGACTTTATGATCTTACAGATAGGAACTAAGTAATAATAACATAAGAAATAAAAAATGTGGAAACAGAAATGTTCAATCACAGTATGATTAAATGGTAAGGCATCAGGTTGGGGGGGGGGGGAGTCAAAGTAAGTTCAAATCCAAAATAGAGACCACTGGGCTAGTAGACACTTCATATTAGAAGCAAAGCTAGGTGTCTATTCCCTGAGAATCAAAATTCCATCAGATACAATGAACAAAGCTTCAGAGAGAGAGAGCATTTGAACATTTTATTGGTAGAAAATATCCCACATACTCTATAGACAATACAACTTCCTTCAAGGCAAACTAGAGCTATAAGGCTTTTGGTCTAAGAAGTTTTGAGTGTGTGCAAGGGATACCTTTGCATACTAGGGAGAGGTAAACAACCCACACATTTAGCTTCGTTATTAAATGTTGTCACTCAGACTTGACAGTTGATGACCAAGGAAGTAAGACTTTCACTAGAAGGGCTGCCCAGGTTGGAAAGCTGAGAGCAATCAGGGCCACCTCTTACAAGCAAATAAAGGTCTGTGGTAACTTCATTAGGATCTGTCAGGCTCTAATCCTTCAGGGCTGTGA